TTTCTGTTAGCCCAGCAAATATGGAGGTGGAAGGAAACAAGACATAGTACATGTAAAATGTATATTTTGCTTCCTGCGATTCTTTTTGAAGTCCAAATGTCAAACGTCAAGCTCAGCTATATGGGCAGATTGCTTCTTGATGATTATGGGGGATATATTGCCACAAGAAGGGGCCCTTACTGACCTGTCAGTGTTCTAGTTTTTGTTGTAATAAAAGTATTTTTAGCCCACCATCATCTGATGGAGGGCTACTCAAATCACTCTGCGTCCGTCCGTCCTTAAACAATTCTTGTTATCGGTATTTCTCAAGAAGTACCAGAGAGATCTTTATCAAATTTTATATTTAGGTTCCCCTTGGTCCTTAGCTGTGCAGGGCAACTTTTGAGACTGATCTGATAAACAACATGGCCGACAGGAAGCCATCTTGGATTTTGATAGTGAAAGTTTGTTATCGCTATTTCTCGGGAAGAACCAAAGGGATCTTTCTAAAATTTGATATGTTGGTTCCCCTTGGTCCTTAGCTGTGCAGGGCAACTTTTGAGACTGATCGGATAAACAACATTGCCGACAGGCAGCCATTTTTGATTTTGATAGTGAAAGTTTGTTATCGCCAATGGCGGTTAAGTCTTGCTCGAGGGACCAAAAGTTGTCAAAAGTGAGGTAGTCACTGGCCCAACAAAAAAAGTTTGGGGGACTGTCGAAAAATTAATAATAAAAGAAATTATAGTCCCTTCCACATTAACTGGGGGGCAGTACATTTTTCAGTTGTCATTACTTCGATTTGAATCGATCTGTCCGTGATTTAGAAAATGGGATAAAAAAAAAATCAGATTTTCTATATAAATACTGCCTGGGTGTCTTCTTTGAGGTGCAAGTTTTGTATATTTCATTTTGGGAAGACCTGAATGGAGTGGATCATGTCAGGTTTTAACTAGGGTTGAAGAATTAAAAATATAATGTTTTATTCTATTTTACATATTACAAACATTGTCATGTTATATGTTATTTAGATGTGCTGAATCATTGTGCTAAATGCTGTGGAAATATTTCTTCACAAATTTATTTGGGCCACCAATATGTCATTTGGGCCAGTGCTTCAAATGTTTTACTCGCCCAAAACCAAAAAAAAAGAATTGGGGGCAGCCAAAGCAGGTTCCCTACTATCCTTTTATGTTCATGTTTACTTTTGAAACTGATCAGTTAAACAAAATGGCCTACCGACAGCCATCTATGATTTTTGACATTGAAGGTTTGTTAGTACTATTTCTCAGGAATAACTTGAGGAATCTTTCTCAAATTTGATATGTAGGTTCCCCTTGATCCCTCGTTGTGCAGGCAGGGTTACAACAAGTGATGTACTCTAGGTTGTAATCTGTGGCTTCTA